AGAAAAAAGGCAACACAATAGCAAAATGGGTTGGTTCAATACGAGTAGCTCATGGCACAAGGATATGACTGTATCTAAACAGCCAATAAACATATGAGAAGATACCGCACTAGGAAGCATGGAAATCCTAATAAAAATACTATGACATATCACTATACTTACCAAAATTGGGAACACATAAAAGAATAACAATATAGTCTCATAAAGCAACGGGAATTCTTCCACCCTGCTGGTAGAACTGCAAATTGATGGGACCATTTGGAAAAATTATTTGTTATCATCCGCTGAAGTTGAATATATTCATACCTTGTAACCCAAGAATTTTACGCGTAGGTATACACTTGAGAGAAATATCTATCAAAATACAGGTACATGACTGTCGATAGCAAAAGTGCTATGAAGGCTTATCCCAGCAGGTCTGGAACTGGCCTGAGCTGTTCTGCTAAAGTTCTGTCCCCCTGTGACCCCTCCTCAAGGCAGGAAACCTACTGATAATGTGTGTGTAGCACTGCTTTGTAACCCAGGGTTTAGGGAATTTGGGGGGTGGTTTGTACCGGCTTCCCATCATTGTTTATGCATAACTATGACGCTGATGCTTCATACTAGCTTGATGAGACTCCCCAGAGGTTGAATGGGGGGCAAGGATACGCCTACTTGACCAGCAAACTAGAAGACCGAATCCCTGAGACTTCACATGTGACCTCTGGTTCTGAAGTGTTCCCTGTACAGGCCGGCTCATGACAGGAGAGACAAAGTGAGTCCAGTACAGTCCACACGGAGAGAGGACAACTGGAGTGTGGATCTGGTGCCCGGGATGCGCTGCTATGAGCTGTGAGGCGTATCCTTGCCTTAATGCTTTTCACTGTGGGATGCCTTCCTCGTTCAATGAGTATAGACATGTAAACATGGTTGTTTTGGCTCCTGTGAGTCTTCTTTAGCAAGGAAACCCTATTCAACTGCTAATTTATTGTAATGATATTCTTTGTAATAACCTCAACCTGCAAATGTCCCGACTATTTTGTCAACTGCAGAAGAGGTAAGTAAGTCATGCCATATTCATCACTGAATACTACACAGTGATGGAAAAAAACAGCTATATACAAAGCAGGACTGAGCCTTACAAATGAGATGATGAAAAAAATTATACAAAAAGAACACATAGCGTATGATTACATATGTACAAGATAGTACAAACATAGGTACCTACTGGTCGCTATCTTAGTTCATTCTCTGTTGCTATAACTCAGGAACTGAGATTGGGAAACCAAGATAGAAAGGAGTTCATTTTGGCTCATATTTCTGCAGGCCTGGAAGCCCAAGAGCCTGCTGCCAACATCTGTCCAGCTTCTGGTGAGGGCCCTGTGCTCCTTCAACTCATGGCTGGAATGAGAAGAGCAGGCAGGCTGATACAGAAGAGACAAAAGGGACCAAGCCCTCATGACAGCAAACCCATTCCCATGAAAAAGGCATTACACATGACACATCTCATCCCATGACCCACCCAGCTCCACCCAGCCCCACCTCCCAACAATGCACGCTGAGTGGTCTCCCAATGCCCTGTGAATGCTGGGAGACATATTCAAAGCCACAGCAGCTCCCTGGGGAAGGGAGGCATGGAGTGATGATGAGCACAGAGCAAGAGAGGACCCTGGCTGGCAACGCTCTCGCTCATGACCCAGGTAATGACTCCAGGAGTGCGTTCAGTCTGCTATAATCCATCAAGCTTCCAACTCTCTGTATGACATTATGCTTTTTGGAAACTTTATTGAGGAAGAAACAGCTATGAGTTCACAACACTGTTTAAAGATGGGGGTGGTGGTACTGTGGCTTAGCAGGTAAAGCCACTGTCAGCTTCCCATATGGGTGCCGGTTCAAGTCCCAGCTGCTCTACTTCCCAATCCAGCTCTCTGCTGTGGTCTGGGAAAGCAGTAGAAGATGGCCCAAGTCCTTGGGCCCCTGCACCCACGTGGGAGACCCAGAAAATAACGAAAAAAACCCTTAAGACCTAACATCCAAACACAATCTTTAGGCTTTGCTTGCATTCTGATTCAAATGAACCAACTAGAAAAATGTAGTTTTGGGGCAATAAAGGTATTCTGAATATGGATCCAAAGATAATAACAAGGACCATTGCTAATTTTTTCTTGGTAAATAATGGTTTTGTGGTTACAAAAGAAAATGTATTTTTTGAAGAGGTTCAGTGAACCATAAAAGGGTGACACCAGTCGTGAAGCCTAAGCTTTGCTGATTTAAGATATGTTAGCAGTGGTAGGCATTTAGTCTAGCAGTTGAGATGATTCAGAGCCTCATCTCCCACCAGGCATCTGGGTTCACACCCGTCTCAGCACCTGAACCCAGCTTCCTGCTAACGTAGACCTTGGAGGCAGCTCTGATGGCTCAAGTAGTTGGGTACCTGCCATCTGTTAGGTTGTAGGATTTGGGGGGATCAAAGAAGGAGAAAAGGCAGCTAGTTAAAAGAGAGAAGACTTTATTTTAGGGAGGACAGAGCAGGAGCATGCAGAGAGTGGGGGTTGGGCTTGCCCAGACAAGAGCAGGGGTTTGCCGGTGCCGCGGCTCACTAGGCTAATCCTCCGCCTTGCAGTGCTGGCACACTGGGTTCTAGTCCGGTCAGGGCGCCGGATTCTGTCCCGGTTGCCTCTCTTCCAGGCCAGCTCTCTGCTGTGGCCAGGGAGGGCAGTGGAGGATGGCCCAAGTGCTTGGGCCCTGCACCCCATGGGAGACCAGGAGAAGTACCTGGCTCCTGGCTTTGGATCAGTGTGGTGCGCCAGCCGCGGTGGCCATTGGAGGGTGAACCAACGGCAAAGGAAGACCTTTCTCTCTGTCTCTTTCTCTCCCTGTCCACTCTGCCTGTCAAAAAAAAACAAACAAAAACAAAAACAAAACAAAACAAAAAAAAACAAGAGCAGGGGTTTGGAGCCGGGCTTCAAGTTGCTTGCTGGGGGAGGTGCACAGTGCCACATGTATCCTGATAAGGTGTGTGTGTGGGGGGGGGAGATGTTGTCTTACCAGTTTGGAATGTCCCCAGGTGTGGAACTTTCTGGAGCAATAAACATTCCACTAACCTGGCCTCCTCAGGCCTGGGCTCTCACAGCACCCACACCGACACCTAGATTGAGTCCCCAGCTCCTGGCTTTGGCCTGGCCCAGTCCCAGATGTGGTGAGCATTTGTGGATGGGAACTCTGCCTACCTGTCTCTCACAATTAATAAATTAAAAAAGCACTTTAGCAGGCACAGCAACACACAAAAGATCATGGTTAAATACGGATGAGAGATTAGTAAAATTTCATTATACAATTGTGTTTAAACATTTTCATAATAAAAATGGAAAGGAAATATATAAGGACTACATAATTTTATGAACTTAACTTTAAAAACTTCTAATGTTATTTAAATATTCATGGCTCATAAAAATATAAAACCCCATTTAATTTTTTTAAAAGATTTCATTTATTTATTTGACAGGCAGAGTTGCAGAGTGAGAGAGAGACAGAGAGAGAGGTCTCCCACCCCTGGTTCACTCCCCAAGTGGCTGCAACAGCCAGAGCTGTGCTGATTCGAAGCCAGGAGCCAGGTGCTTCCTCCCGGTCTCCCATACAGGTGCAGGCGCCCAAGCACCTGGGCCATCCTCCACTGCCCTCCTGGGCCACAGCAGAGAGCTGGACTGGAAGAGGAGCAACTGGGACTAGAACCAGTGCCCATATGGGATGCGGGTGCTGCAGGTGGAGGATTAACCTAGTGTGCCACGGCACCAGCTCCCCCCCTCCCCACATTTAATTTTATGAAGTTAGCATAACTTTTTTTTTTAAGATTTTTTATTGGGATTGGTGCTGTGGTGTAGGTTAATCCTCCGCCTGAGGTGCCAGCATCCCATATGGGCGTCAGTTCTAGTCCTGGCCACTCCACTTCTGATCCAGCTCTCTGCTACAGCCTGGGATAGCAGTAGAAGATGGCCCAAGGACTTGAGCCATCCTCTGCTGCTTTCTCAGGTGCATTAGCAGGGAGCTGGATCAGAAGTGGAGCAGCTGGGACTCAAACCAGTGTTTACATGAGACACCAGCATCACAGGCAGTGTGTAACCTGCTGTGTTGTACCACTGGCCCCAACTTGAGGAATTCTGCACACTGAACACATCTCTGCACTCAGATAAAAAGCCAGGACACTGAGTATTCCAGAAACCACCTTGAACATCCACGTCAGTATCTTCCACGGAAGGCACCCACTGTGTGGAAGCCAGAATAACTAGTAACACACAAATCTTGCTTTTATAAATATTGGGCATAAAAAGTACAAATAACGAAAACTAACATGTAATTTCCCTTAGATGAGGAGTTTTTAAGGAGTGCATGAAAAATGCATATTACAAAAGAACTGTTTATGGATTTCAAAAAAATAAAGTTTATTTTTGTCTTCATTTCAAAGGCAGGAGTGACACAGGAGGGAGGGAAGGAAGGAGGGAGGGAGAGGGAGAGGGAGAGGGAGAGGGAGAGGGAGAGGGAGAGGGAGAGGGAGAGGGAGGGAGGGAAGGAGGGAGAGGGAGAGAGAGAAAGGGCATCTGCTGGTTCACTTCCCAAATGCCTGCAACAGCTGGTGCTGGGCAGGCTGAAGCCAGGAGCCAGGAACTTCAACAGGGTCTCCCATGTGGGTCAGAGGAACTCAAGTGCTTGGGCCATCATCTGCTGCCTCCCAGGCACATTCCCAGAAAGCTGGATGGGCAGTAGAGGGGACTTTATCCTAGGTACACTGATACGGGGTGCAAGCATCTCATGCAGCTACCTAACTCCCTGCCTCACAACACCAACTTGTACTTTTACTTTTTACTCCCGTATTTCCCCCTACAGACCTTTTGAAGTCTACCAGAGAGATGCAGAGACAGAGAGAGAAAGAGAGAGAGAGAGAGAAAGTCTTCCATCTGCTGGTGCACTCCCCAAATGGCTGCATACAGTGGCAAATATTCTAAGTAAAATATTAGGAAACAGAATCCAGAAATGTATTTTAATTAGCTATATAATGATTCACATATCTGTTATCAGTAACACAATTGCTCACAATTATTTTTTGCATTCCCTCTGGGTTCTTGCTGAAGTATATATTTTACTGGTAGTTTTCTGCTTGGTTATTTCTGTTTCATTAAGAGCTGTGGATAGTAAATAATTCTGGGCTCTGACATGTTTCTGAGTATATTTATTTCACCTCTGCCGCATAAGGAGAGCTTGGTTGGGTAGAATTCCACACCAGTGGTTGTTTTCCCTTAGGGTTTTGAGTGCGTGACACCATCACCTCCTGACTGCTATTGCTCATGGGGTTCTCCCGTTGACGTCTCATGTCTTGGTGAGGATTCTGTCTGTCTGGCCGTGGTAGATTATGTGTCCCTGTACTGCTTAGTTCTCCGCATTTTTGCTATGGTGTTTCTAGGATTGGGGTTTATTTTTATTTATTTTTTTGCTAATCATCCCATGGAATTTTTTTCAGTTCAAAGTCCCATACGTTTCTTTATTCCTGGAAAAGTATCAGTTGTTTGCTTTTTGAGCCTCACCTCCCCACTTTCTTCTACAACTTCTACCTGACATGTTTCTGAACCTCTCATTCCTCCGTCCGCACTCTGAACTCTTAGCTTCCAGCCCTACCGCGCTGTGCTGCGATCTCGAGGCTTCTCGGTCTGATTCCCCAGCTTATTAGTCCGTCCTCCTCACAGGCAGAGAGCGTAATTGGGATAATTTTGGAAGGTTCTTGGTTTCATTGACAACATTTTCCACTTCCAAGATTCCCAATGTGTTTCTTCTCCAAACTTGTTTTGTTCCCAGGTCTCTATGCAGTTAACATTCAACTCCTCAGAGTGACCTCTGCGCCCCGAGCTACCAGTTCCTGCACCTGTTGAATTTACCAACTGTCCTTGTGACGACGGACGTGTGCTTCCGCTTTTCTGCAGAGCTGCTGTTGTTCAGGAGTCTCTCCTTCCTGGGTAGCCTTTATTTTCACATGAGCCATACTGGCTTCAGCCTTGGTCCAGGCAGGTTGTCCAGTTCCGAACAGGGTCTCATAACGGCAGACCGGTTTGGTTCTGTTACTCCATATCCATGGTTTACTGTGGGACCTTCCATGAGTCTTGCCGTAGTTCAGTTGTTCTAGTGGGTGCCACCTCTTCTTTGCTGTTATGTATAAATTCAGTGGTCTCGACGGCAAACACACACATCCAGACTATTTTAACGAACTATATGTCCCATTTAAGAGGATACTTGGATTCTGTTTGATAGTCAACTTGAGGATAAACGAACAGAGTCTTACGGATCAGAGGAGGGAAGACGGCAGGCATGTCCCGGCTCTGCACAAATCTCTTCTCGGTGTCATAGCGGATCTCCGGGAACGAAACTGCCGTGGTGCGGCTCCACTTCACCAGCCCCTTAAAGTACTTCAACTCCAGGTCCTTTAGATCTATAAACTGCTTTTCTGAAAAGAATCAGAGTTTCAAAGAATCACACGGTGGACGTGATTCAGCCTACGGTTAATCAGAGATGCTTTATGGAGAGAGTAAGCCACGGAGAAACCTGTTCTCCTCCCTTCCGGCAGAAAGCTGTATCTGCAGCCTATCAAGCAAAGGCTACTAGAACCTGGTATGCCGGCGCCGCAAGGCGGAGGATTAGCCCAGTGAGCCGCAGCGCCGGCTACCCACTTGTACTTTTACTTTTTACTCCCGTATTTCCCCCTACAGACCTTTTGAAGTCTACCAGAGAGAGGCAGAGACTGAGAGAGACAGAGAGAGAGACGTCTTCCATCTGCTGGTGCATTCCCCAAATGGCTGCATACAGTGGCATGACTTCCACTGTCCGTGAACTTTGAAGCCTTCTTGCATGGCACCTGCCCCTGTCCAGTGCCTATGTCCTTTCCCTCCCTTCCCACCAACTCCTTCTGTCACCAAACAAACAAGCCGCCAGCCACAAGAGGAAGGCTGACAGGCAGGGGGGTGCCTGTGTGGAAAGTGAGGGGCCACAGAGCCACGGAGGAAAGCCCCAGAAACGGGCCCCTGCTACTGCCCCAATCGGGCCTCCATCCCTGTGCTGGAAAGGACCTGGGCTCCCAAGCCTGCCTGGTAGAAGTGTTTATACACAAGCGTACCTTGCAAAGTTCATGAAAAACTGTATTTAATAGATACGCTTATTTTTGTTGCAAAAATATTTTTGAAATCATGCATTTTCATGCATATTTTCCCATTATTTATTATTTGAGAAAGAGAGAGAGAGAGAGAGTGAGCGAGCACACTCCCATCTGCTGGTTCCCTCCCCAGATGCCCACATGGTTGAGATGAGGATGAGCCTGGGCTGGGCCAAAGTTGGGAGCTGGGAAGTCAATCCAGGTCTCCCATGTGGGTGGCAGGGGCCAAACCCTGAGAGTCTATATTTCTGCATTAGCAGGAAGCCAGAGTCAGGAGCTGGAGCCAAGAATCCAACCTGGGTTCTCTGATATGGGGTGAGGTATCTTACCCATGAGGTTAGATGCCCACTCTCTCTCTCTCTCTCTCCCCACTAATTTTAATATAAAAATGGAGGTGTCAAAATCTTTGCTGTGCAAGTGGTCTTGAATTAAATATCTACCTCAAAAGGACTCAAATATTGATCTAATCTATTTTGTGACTTCAGAATGACATAATTTACAGAAGGAACATGGAGACCTGGAGATTAAGGCACTCCCTTCTCATTAAAACTCAACTCAGAAGATTCTGCAGAGCAAAGACAATCAGCAGAGTGAAGAGACGACCGACAGAGCAGGAGAAGGTACTGGAAAGCCAGTCATTGGCCAAAGAATTAATGGCCAGGATATATAAGAAACTAAAACAACAACAACAACAACAACAACAACAAAACCCAAACAATCCAGTTAGGAAAGTGGTTAAGGCTCTGCTGAACAGACAGTTCTCAAAAGGACAAACACAAATGGCCAACAAACGTGCCCCAAAAATGCTCAATACCACAAACCATCAGGGAGATGGAGATGCAGATAAAACCATGGTGGATGATCACATTTCACTTAGGATGACTGTTATAAAAAAAAAAAAAAAAAAAAAGAAAACAACAAAGGCTTGTGAGGGTGTGGTGGAGAAAACGGGGTCCTTCTCCTACACTGTTGGCAGGAGTGCAAATCAGAGCAGCCATTATGGAGGATAGCACAGGTCTCCCGCATGATGCAGGGGCCCAAGCACTTGGGCCATCTTCCGCTGCTTTCCCAGGCCATCAGCCGGGAGCTGGATCGGAAGTGCAGCACCTGGGACTCACACCGTCACTCATCCGGGAGCTACTCTATGATCCAGAACTCTCACTTCTAGGAATATATCTAAAGGAGATAAAGTCAGCCCAGGAAAGAAATACCTGCACTCCTGTGTTCACTGCAGCACTGGTCACAGTAGCTAACATATGGGATCAACCCAGGTGTCCACTGACGGATGAGTGGACAAAGAAAATGTGATGCATGTACACAACGGAATGTTACTTAGCCATAAATATTGAAGCAAACCCTGACATCTGTAGCAAAATGGATGGAGCCAGAGATCATTATGTTATGTGAAATAAGCCAGACACAGAAAACCAAATACCGTTCTCTTCCTTATGTGGAAGTTTAAAAAAAAAAAAAAGTTTTTTTTTCTAAGCTTAGAATAGAGAGTACCACAGTGTGGGGAGGGTGAGGGGAGAGGGAATGGCAGGTCCAGGATGCAGTCAGGTAGAAGTAACAGGTGGTGGTGTTACGTGGCGTGGCGGGGTGACAATAGCTCACCAGCACGTATTACATTCCACATAAGGAAATGGAGAGCACCTGGTGGGCTCCACACACAAAGATGAGGAAAGGGAAAGAGAGCGTGGATGTGAGGCCCATGCTGGGCGTAGTGGGCTAAGCATCTGTGTGGCGCTGGCATCCCCTATGGGCGCTGTAGGAGCTCCTGGCTTGGGATTGGCCCAGCTCTAGCTGCTGCCGCCACGCAGGGAGCGAGCCAGCAGGTGGAAGACCTTTGTCTCTGTCTCTCCCACTCTCTGTCTGCAACTCTGCCTCTCAAGTAAATAAATAAATCTTAAAAAAAAAAAAAAAAAAAAAAAAGAGCCTGGTTGCATGATTCGGTTGGTTTACATTTGCGTGTTGTGTTGAAATGTTGCACTTTTCTGCAGAAAACATATGAGTATTACACATTAATGCAGTTTTAAAATAAAACAGTTCAAGTTGAAAAACAGCAGCATTATATGGGCACCTCTCCATCATCAGAAATGAAGAGTTTTCCTCCTGCTGTTTTTGTCCTCTGTGGACAACTGTGATGCAAGAATAAGGAGAGGACAACGTTTTATGACTGAATAAAACCTCTCAAAAGTCCCCTTAATGGTGGTAAAACCAAGTCATTTAAAAAAAAAAGACAATATTCAACTAATTTCTGTGAACAAGAAACAAACAGATAGGCGTGCTTGCCAGGGTATGCCTAAATAGTCACCTTCCCAGGAATGCCTCTGGGACTTGGCCCATTGTCACTGCAGGCAGCGGGAGCCCCATGCACCCTCGACCCTGGAGACCTCCCTGGGTCACATCCTGCAAAGCTACGTGAGTACGGGCTAGCGTTTCTGCTCCGGACGGGTTACCTGCGTAGACCAGGAAGAGGCGAGGAAGCCTGTCTTCGTAGATCTTCTCGGGCGGAGCGCTGGGCAGCGCTGTTCTCTGCGGCATCGTGGCCTTGGGCACCTCGTCCTCGGCGGTGATCAGTGTCCAGGCTTTCGAGTGACTGACGAGAATGTCATAGGGGAAATTGTGCATGGGAGCGGGGATCCCGTCGTGGGACAGTCTCTGGCGGGACCGGAAGAGCCTCTCCACCGGGGACAGCGAGTCGGACACGAGGCTGTGATGCAGGAGCTCGGTCATGGACTTGGGCCTCTTGTCCTCTCTCTTGGCCGCCGTGGCTGCTGTGCCCGCGGAGGCAGCCACAGCCTCTCCCTCTTTCCCCCCAGCTCCGCTGAGCGCCGCCATGGCGTTCAGGCTTTGGGTGAGCATTTTCTGGGCCTCCTTCACTGAAAGACCCTGAGTCTTTTGGAGGTTGGATTTCTTGCTTTCCTTGGTCAAATTCTCAACACATTCAAATAATTCTGGCAGCTGTGGGAGAAAAGTGTTGGAAGTCGTGAGAGCGATGAAAAACTGTAACATCCTGGCAAAGCCACAAGCCCTAGCACAAATGAGATTCCAGAATAACCACACAAACAGAAGCACTCAGCTCCCGAAGATAGCTTTGTCTAAACCAGCCACGTCAGCGGGAACAGGGAACAGTCAAATCCCAGACTCATTCCTCACAAGGTGCATTCTTTAGATGTGTCATTTCAACCCTCTGTTAGAAAATGAGCCAACGGGACTTGAACATCCTTAAGATCTTTCCAATTTGAACATTCGCTGAGTGAGCAGGGAGAGAGCTGTGGGAGTCGTGACCTCTGCAGATTTCTTTAAAGGAAGAAAGGGGGCCAGGTTCTCTAGAGAGCAGAGCGTCATCCTGGTGTCCAAAGAACTCAGAGTGTTCCAGAAAGCAGCGCAAAGGAGGTTGCCAGAGTCATTAAACACCAGAACGTTCTACCAAGGCCAATGGTTATATCTGTGGAGGGTTTGAGAAAAGCTGTTGGTAGAAGAAAAACCCTTCCCTATCTCAACTCCTATACTGAAGGAGTATTTTCTCAAGTGTCCGGCCTACAAACCCAGTGTTCCCAAAGAGACTTCCCGGGTCATTAAACTGGAAGGCCGAGAGAGCCACAGTCTGAAGTAACAGCCTACAATGGGGGGCATTTAGCCCAAGACAGTTTCTTCTAATTCTAGTCTGTTCTATCACAAGCCCCCTAGATAGAAGAGTGAGCCAAAGTGAGCACACGGTTCTGTCAAACGCATCACCATGGTTAGGGAAAGCTGCCCTGGGGAAGAATCACATTTTGCCGTAACTAACTAACTAACTAACTAACTAACTAACTAACTAGAATAAGGGTCTTTGAGTCACTGATGTGAAATTTTGCTGTCCTTTGTGCCTGGAGGTACACTGCTGAATATCTGATATTTGGATGTTCTGGATTCGTGAATGGGAAACACATACCGAACACTTAGGAAGCGAAGACGCCCTGCTGCTCCTCGCTGGGCGTCTGTCTTTATCAAGGGACATTCTGCTGGGATCTTATTACCTACAACAGAGGAAGACGAACATCAAAGACCAGAAATCAGGGTCAAATTACTTTTTCAAGCTTCAGAACTCTACCCAACTAATCACATTTCTACTGAATGCCATAAATTTTAACAGGACATGCCTATTACCCAGGCTTAAGATTAGCTCACGGAATCCTACATGGATTGTTTATTGCATTTTGTCTTATACATTGTTCAATTTTCAGTTCATCTAAATAGAAACTCCCTTGCCTCCCTCCCCATGACAAAGTATTTGACATTCAGGAGAATTAAAGCTAATAACGATGATAAAAATAAAAACAGTGAACAATCTGGAAGAACTTGCTTTGTACTAGAGGTGCCACCAGGTGTTTCACAGCTAAGATTCTGTTTGGTCCCATTGTGAGGGGTTAGAAATGGCCATAGAATCTTCACAATTCATCTCACCAATGAGTGGGCAGGCACTGTGTTCCACTCTGACCTGGCCTTATGCTTGGGTCTGACCCACTAGCTTGTGGCATTATGTGAGTGCCAGAGCTGAGAACTCAAGAGACTCGGCAGCCTAACTTCACACTGCCGGAAGTCTGAGTCCTGGCATCTCTTCCAGGGAGGCCATGTGGAGGCCACAGCTGGCAATGACCGCTAGACGTGGCAATGAAGTCATCTTGGGTTACCCAGCCCTGGTTGAGCCTCCCCATGACTCCAGCTATGACAGCGTTCCCCTTCCTCCCAATAGCAGGTGGAGAAGCACCTCTACCCAGCTGAGCAAGCCAACTCAAACCCTATGACAAATAGTGAGCCGTTGACGGTTCAAGCCACTGGGCTTTGGCAGGATGGTTGTATGGCAGTAAGCACAGATAATACCCACAATAGTTCACAGGCTTGGTTTAACTTATCCTAGCAAAACCTGCACCTGCAGGGTAGGAAGTGGACAAAGGGCAACTACATTCCCGCCTGGTAGCTGTGGCCACCGGGCTGAGTGTTTGAGATGAACCAGAAACACTCCTCTGATGTTTGTGATGAAGCAAAAGCAGTTAGGTTTCTTCTTGCTTTGCAACCAAAGTAGAAAAACCCAGAATGAATACGCAGCTGCTCTTTGTAGTATGTTGGGATTACGTTCCAATAAACCTATCGCGAATCGAAATCATCATAGGTTGTCAACACGCTGAACTCCCCTAATGAATGGCACAACCTAGCTAGAAGCACAGGGCCCTTGGAGAGCCTGGTGGTTTCCACCTGTGCTTGCCACTGCCCCTCCCAGCACCAGCACTAGTCCAGGAAAATATCAACACGTAACACTCAAAGGACAGATTCTACTGAGTCCATCCTGAAGTCAAAAAGTCCTAAGTAAATCATCATTAGGTCAAGGACCATCTGCACATATCTCGGAATATATTACTGACACTCTCAAGGCCACCCCCGTTATAGGACAAGAAAAACAATGCAGTATACTCATTCCCTTTCCTGCCTCCAGGCAGTGGCTTCACAGACCTGTTCATCCCCAGTCAGGTTAGGACTGGGTTATGGGGCTGGTGCTGTGGCATAGCAGGCGAAGCCTCTGCCTGCGCTAGCATCTCATATGGGTGTCGGTTTGAATCCTGGCTACTCCACTTCCCATACAGCTTCCCTGCTGATGGCCCAGGGAAAGCAGTGGAGGACTGCCCAACTGCTTGGGTCCTTGCATGGATGTAGCAGACCCTGAAGAAGTTCCTGGCTCCTGGCTTTGGATCAGCACAGCTCTGACTGTTGCAGCCATTTTGGGAGTGAACCAGTGGATGGGAGACCTCTGTCTGTGACTCTGCCTCTCAAATACATAATAAATCTTAGAAAAAGAGATTAAGTTGTGCTACCCTTCTGTGAATAGTCTTCAAAGAGCTTGTGGAAAATAAATGTGTATTGTGGAAAAAACGCATGACTTCAGAATGTTTTTTTCAACAAACTAAACCTCTTTCGATTCTATTTCTCCATGAACTTTTTGAAGTTCCCTCATGTGGTTCTCACAAAGAAAACCACTTCTCTAACCTCTTTATCTAAAATCTATCTGTATTGTCTCTTGTATAGTCTTCCCTAATACGGTGCACCATGGGAAGACTGCCTTTACCTATTACCAATGGTTAATAAATGTCTCCTTTCTCCTCCCCTTAGCAAAATCTAACCTCCCAGTACACACACACACACACACACACACATACACGTACAGAAACTTATTGCTATTATTATTAGCTTTGTCTTTGAGTGGCAGAGAGAGAGAGAGAGAGCGCGAGCGAGCGAACTCCTATCTGTGTGTTCACTCCCCAAGTGCCTGTAACAGATGGGGAGCTGAAGGCAGGAGCCGGGAACTCCAACCAGATCACCCACATGGTGCAGCAGACACAACTACTGGAGCCATCACATTAGCAGGAAGCTGACGTCAGGAGCTGGACCCGGGGATTGAACCCGGGCACTGCAGCGTCCAACACAGGTGTCCTGACTGGCATCTTAACTGTTAGGCCAAATGCCTGCCCCTCCCGCACTGAAATTTCATCAGCAATACTGGCTAAGAGAAATCATTTCCAGCCTCAATGGCCAATCTTGCAGCTCTCTCTACATATATTCCAAACACCATCTAAGAAAGGTGCTCATTTCATTGAAGTAGGATTAATGATAAGAGGTGGAGCACAGGCTGAACTACAAGTGGGCACATTCCTATCTCTCTGGAGTGTCAGGATTCTGAGTGCCAAAACCTGTCATTTGCAACAGATGTCTTCATACATTTTTATTTATTATTTATTTTTGATAGGCAGCGTTAGACAGTGAGAGAGAGAGAGAGAGACAGAGACAGAGAGAAAGGTCTTCCTTTTTCCGTTGGTTCACCCCTCAAGTGGCTGCTACGGCCAGTGCACTGCACTGATCTGAAGCCAGGAGCCAGGTACTTCCTCCTGGTCTCCCATGTGGGTGCAGGGCCCAAGGATTTGGGCCACCTCTACTGCCTTCCCAGGCCACAGCAGAGAGCTGGACTGGAAGAGGAGCAACCGGGACAGAACCGGCACCCTGAACGGGACTAGAATCCAGGGTGCTGGTGCCACAGGTGGAGGATTAGCCTAGTGAGCCGCAGCGCCAGCCCTGATACATTTCTAATGCGGACTTCACTAACGTACTTTCAACCTCAGGTCCTTGGTTGAGCCAAGTCAATGCCCAAACCGAGTTAGACTAATCCAGCCTGTGATGGGGAGAGTGTTGCTGGAGAAGTCTTGAAAACACAGCCAATGGGCCTGTCACTGACACCTGCAACTTGGGTGGGGCTCCTGCCAGGGCGCCACAGCACGTCTGACCATTGTCTGGTTTTGTTTTTTTTTTTTTTTTAAGATTTATTATTTATTTATTTGAAAGGCAGAGTTAGAGAGAGAGAGAGAGAGAGAAACTTCCATCCACTGGTTCCAACAGCTGGGACTGGGCCAAGCCAAAGCAAGGAGCTAGGAGCTTCTTCTAGGTCTCCCACATAGGTGCAGGGGCCCAAGCACTTGGGCCATCTTCTGCTGCTTTCCCAGGGTCATTAGCAGGGAGCTGCATCAGAAGTGGAGCAGCAGCGTATTGAATGGCACCCATATGGGGTGCTGGCATACTGGTGGCGGCTTAACCTCTATGCCACAGTGCTGCTCCCCCACATTGTCCATTAATCCTCAGAATTTGCATGGTAAATTCTAATTGTACTGAAAAGAGCAAGGGCATCTCATGGGCACCCCCTTGGGTGGTATTTGGCATGCATTCCTCTCAAGAAGGAAATGTCCTCTCTTCCCGCCAGCGTGGTGTACTTTATCCTGCTCAAAATTCTTGGGGAACATGCCCCTTCAGGGGTCCCTGCACCCTCTCCCCGAAAATAACCCCTCTTCTCCCATCTTATCTTCAGCTAAATGCTTCCCAGCGTCTCCTTCCTATCTTCATAAACTCTGAAACTTCTTCCTGGCTGGGTGGATATGGATCCTGTCTATTCAACCATTTTGGGAGTCTCTCTTAGTATAATTTTATCACTTCCCAAATTTGCTCAATTATAAGCTTATCACTGTATATTGCATTGTTGCCCATTTTTTTCTATGATGCTCACAATTAATAAAGATCTATTTATTTATTTGAAAGGCAGAATTACAGAAAGAGAGGGAGAAAGAAATCTTCCACCCTCTGGTTTACTTCCCAACTGGCCACAATGGCCAGGGCTAGGCCAGGCTGAAGCCAAGAGCCATGAATCCCATCCAGCTCTCCCATGTGGGTTGCAGGGTCCCAAGCACTTGGGCCATCTTTTGCTACTTTCCCAGGTGCATTAGCAGGGAGCTGGATCGGAAGTGGAGCAGCTGGGACTGGAACTGGCGCCCATATGGGATGCCGGCACTGCAGGAGGTGGCCTCACCCACTATGCCACAGCGCCGGCCTCTAAAACAAAATTTTAAAAACATTCATTTATTATTATGTATTTGAAAGGCAGAGTTACAGAGAAGGAGAAATTCAGTGAGAAAAGAAAAGAGGTCTTCCATCCCCTGGTTCATTCCCCAAATGGCTGTAACAGCTGAGGTTGGGCTATACTGAAGCCAGGAGCCAGGAGCCAAGAGCTTCTTCCAGGTCTTCCATGTGGGTGCAGGGGCCCAAGGACTAGGGCCATCTTCTGCTGCTTTCCCAGGCACTTGCACTAGCAGGCAGCTGGAATGGAAGCAGAGCAGCCAGGACTTGAACCAGCACCCATATTTGATGCCGGGGTCGCAGGAGGCGGCTTAACCTGCTATGCCACAAAGCTGGCCCCAAAACCAATTTTTGAAAAGTAACTTCTGTGGGTTTTTCCCCCTAAATTTACTGCTACGATCCTAATAGGAAGCCTATTTATAATCAACCCTGGAGGACCGTAATTCTTTCTTTTTCCCAGACTCCTGGCCCCGTGCTGTGCTTTTCATAACCTATCCCAGCTCACCTCTCTTTCCAGCTGCTCATTAGCTGGTTCTGGAAACTTCGCTTCTTATTGCTCTAAGGATAAAATGTAAATTTCTCACCCAGACTT